CCCCAAAACCCCAAAACCCCAAAACCCCTCTATGTTAATGCATTAGACACAAAGCAATAGCGTTAAATCAATTAATAATATTATTAATTCCGTTTATCAACATAATTTGATCACAGCTAAATTATTAAATTCAATTCTTTAACAATGGATAGTCCGAATAATTCGATGACAATCCCTCTCAAGCCAGAGGACTAGGAGATCTAGATGCTGGTGATGAGTAAACTAATGCCTCATGAATATCTTGAAATCAGAAGAAGACCTCGAGCTTAGAGCCTTAGCGGAGGAGGCAACGGTAGAAATGGCGGACTTCTGAGAGAATACTTGCTTTCAAGTAGATATGATGGGAATATACCAGAGGGCAGCAAGCAATACAAGCTAATCTGGTTTGTGTTGCTATATTATATGTCTTTCTACCTAATCTGCACATTTTCCTCCCTCATTATCAAGGGAGTTGCTAATGCTAACAGTGAAACCATGCCTCCTGAAGTGGCTTAGAAATGCCCAATGAACCTGAACAAGTGGTACTCAGTGCAGTAGATATTATTTGCACTTGCCCCCTTTCCCATATATTACAGTGTGAAACTGATTATCAGAGATAGACAGATTCATTATCTGTACAAAGAAAGATTGGATCGTAATGGAAATATAAGAAGGACATTCATCTTCAGTACAGTGGGAATCGGTAGCAAAATAGTGCTAGGATTCCTAGACATTTTACATCTGGTCCAATCAATCACAGCCACAGCAAACTACTTGAACAATAGAGAGGATATTCTTGAATACTGTGCGCCCTACAACCCTGTGATGAATTTTATGCTTTTGTTCTACACTTCTATTGGGCTTTTGAGCTTTCCAAGGTTCATTATTCTCATCTATTTCTTTGTTTGGAGAGTCAGAGGCCTAAATGTAAATTAAGCAAGAATGAGTGCAAATGAAACTGAACCTTAAATCTAAAGTTTCAAATTTCCAATCATAAAGTATGAAAACCTTGAGTCTGAAATCCGATAGTTCTCAGCCATTTCTTAACCCAACTAAACCCAAGAAATTACCGAGGAAGAAAAAGATAATGAAAATCAGTTCCTTGAGTCAACCTCCCCTCCACGCTTATTATAAAAACAGATTAAATACAATGATAATCGGATCGATAATTAAAACAAAAGAATCAGCAAAGATGAGATCATATCAGACAGCTGCCCGATTTGTTGTGAGGCTTTTGGCAATAGTGACAAGATTAGCTTTTTACCCTGCAATATCAAGCATATTTATCATACTAATTGCATCTAGATGTGGCTTGGCAAACACAACACATGCCCTCTTTGCAAGCATGAAGTTATAAAAGTTTCATATAGATGATATATGCATAGAATTAAAATGGAAAAGATTTTAATAATCTTGCTAATTCTTAAAGGATCTGAATCATAATATGAAAAGTTACACAAATTACTTATTTAACAAATGCATATTATTGCAATATATTGCTTAACGGGGTTTTGGGGTTTTGGGG